ACGGCAGTTAGCAGTTTTTTTTTTCTGCAGAAAGTTTGAGGTTAAGAAATTGTTAGAAACAAAAAAATGAGAAAACCCCGGAAAGGAAGTGGTGGGAAGTTGTGTAAAGTTGAAAAGAAGTTTCGAGAGGTCGCAGCAGAGGAGGGGTTTTCGAGGGTAGTCGTATTTTGCAGAAATTTTTACAATGGCAGAGCGTAGCTTGGTTGTACAGTGTGATTAAAATGGTAGAAATCCAGATTTGAAAACAGTTCCACCAGGCCCCAAATAAAACCCCCTGAAGTGGATTACAAGAGACTGTTCATCTCTGATTTGTGTACTTTTTCCTTAAAATGAATTTTTCAGAACTTCCCAGTGCAAATCACAGGCATTCAATCGACCGGGCAGCGTATTATCGTGACGGATTCACAGGAATCGGTCCATTTTGTGCGTTATAGAAAGGCGGTAGGTTTTTGCTTAGACTTCTCTTCTTTTTTCTCTTTCCTTTTTTGGGCTAATATGTCTCCATTTGACTGATTTCATTTTTTCAGGAAAATCAATTGGTTATTTTCTGTGACGACACTACTCCACGTTATGTCACGACGTGTTGCGTACTGGATTACAATACGGTGGCTGTGGGTGACAAGTTCGGATCGATATCGATTGTGAGTGTTCAGTATTAATTTTCCAGGGTTGGGGGTGTGAAACAGGGGGTGAAAGACGAGGCAATATGAGGAAAAGTTACGAGTTCTCGCTTTTACGCGCGCGGTATCAAGTCTCGGATCGGCTCCTGCCTGGTCCAACAAAGCCTTCCACCTCATCAGGGCCGAAAATTGGCTACAGACTTGCCTGGGAGGATAAAAACGCTGACTTATGCGTTAGCTTGCCCCCGCAAGTAATTGCATTGGCCATATTGCATTCAAAATGTCACCTTGAATCTGAATTGAAGTAGACTGCATGTCGCACTCCAAAAAAATTATTGATCGGCGACAAACGCTTTATCCTTTCAAGGCTTCAGTCTCGATGTTGCTAAATATGCTGCGATATGCGGTTGGGCTAAATTATCCTACACAGAACGGGCCCACTGGGCTGTATATGCCCTTTATTTATATTCAGAGCCGTAGTAACGCCAGAATATTCAGTCTGTCAGTGCGACGTTGCCTAGCTGATATCAAGGCACGCCTTCGCGTTCAAGGGAATTTTGCTAGATACCCCCTCGATTTTTTTCTTCCAGTGAAACCCCGTAAGACCCTCCTCTCACGACCGGCCGTCTCGCCGAACTTCTTCAGAAGACTCGTCATAGGGCGGTGCGCGCGTGAAACGGAAAATCAGCTATCAAATTTTATCCCGAACCAAATATGACCCCCTCTCCCTGTCAGCTTTTTTGCAGAAATGGCACTGCTTTGTTTGTCGAGGAGAAATTGATGCTCCAGGGCACTGAATGAGTCCTGTCCTAGAGATATGTGGGTGGAAAATAGGACCCTTATGGCTAGTGCACCATCGCCTCAGGCCTAATCTTGGGGTAAGTAAATATAAGCTGGGTAGAAGTATCAAGAAACAGCAGCACGTGAGATTATGATGGGCTGAGTAATCCCTGTGCCCACGTGCTGCCTTGAGAAAGGTGTATAGAATAACCAGAATAGTTCCCTTGCAGAGTAATTGTGGCAATTGAGCTTATTTTTAGCCGAGAGAAGGAGATTTTCTAGGTGAAGGAGGGGATAGTTTTCAGTCTAAGTCTGTACAAGTCACCTTATGGAAGCATGGATATTCTCAACTTCACCCAGTTTTACAGGTATGAGACCTGTTAGTTAACATGAAATATAAAAGGAATTATCGAAAGTGCGAACTGCCCCTCCAAAGCTGAACAGCGGCGAAACATTGGCTAAAAATCAAAAGAGAAAACACTGGCGCTGGTTTAGCATAGGTCAGCAACCGATGTAGATTGTGAACGAAAGTATAGATTCCTAGGGGCATTCGGGGACAAGGGGAAGGGGGCACTTCTGCAACTTCCCATCGATGCGTCGATCCATTCATAGAGCCATTTCGCGAGCTTTCAAGAGTTGACAGGCTTTACCATGGTGGCTAGACGAGCTTGCTCCAGCTTCACAAGAGTTCACAGGTTTCATCAGAGTGAGACTTGTAAACCGGAACGTAGTGAAGCAGTGAATGTGCAACTCCCCTCCCCAACGTCGCCGAACTGCTCCTTTACCTAGGGGAAGTATAGTTATCATTGGCTGGAGTACGGTATTTGTGGCTTAATAAGCTTGTAAAAGTGTTCAGCAATTGGAAATCATGTAATGGAGCTAATTATTGCCCATTAACGTAACAGTGTACTTCTTTAGTGTATGGAGGTATGGATAGGAACTGGGAATTTTTCCCCTGTGGCTATAATGTGCGTATAGGCAGACAAAGAGATCTATGAGCATGAGCAGCTGCTAAGTGTCGCGAAAATTATAGAGAAGTGAGGGTATAATCAATAGAAGTTAGAGAGCGATTTTAACGTATTTCTCGTCCCTAATTGTTCTAGGGGATAATTAACTGGTAATGAATGCGAATAAGTGTCTGAGCGTCCATGAGACTTCTGGAAAATTCCTGGAAAAAATGAATGGCCGATGGAAGTCTAGGTTGTACTCTAGGGGCGAGGCCGTAAATAATGGTATCAGTGAGTGAGCAGAAGGCGGTTTTGGTAGTCTTGTGGTTAGCTAGCTTGAAGTGCTAGTTCGAATCCTT